TCAAATGAAGTTGTTGTTTGTTGTGTTTGTGCTTTGTTGTTATTATTGTTACACGCTTTGAGTGCTTTTAAGCAAAAATTTATGTTAATTACTTAATGTCAGGCGTTTTTTTATGTTGCGGTAACGTGGTGTTGTTCTGCATGGCGTATGGTATACGAAATGTGGAGAGCGGAGTACGAAGTAAAGAGGGAACTCATCTTTGTGTAGCATTTCGCCTTATCAGTGTCACATTTCAATTATTTGTTCATTTTGCTTGCCTTTAATTTTCAAGTACCTGACAATTATGCAGCTGCTTTCGTCATTTTGCGGTAATTTTAATGGAAAATTAATTGAATTACAATTGTTCTCCTAATTTTTGTCTTAATTTGCATTTGAATGATTTTATAGCGAAAATTAAGAGAAAAGTTGTAAAAATAACAGGTAAAGCTTCAAAATGAAATACGGAGGAACAGAAGGTATGAGAATTTAAGTTGTTTTAGTGGGAAATTGAAATTGTGAGATTGTTGGTTTTTTAGCGTAGGAAGTGATTTTAATTAATGACTAAAAACATTCTTCTTTCATTCACAAAAATGGAGAAATTTAAAAAATGCAGTATAAAATGTAAAAACTGAAGAAAGGTAACATGAATTACTTTTACTATAATACAACTGTTTTCAATAATATTACAATAAGAAATGAAGCATTCCCATTCCAATAAGGAATTAAAATTATTTAAACAGTCACAGAAAAAAATAGTTATTTTAATAATTTTCAAGAAAAAAAATAGCTTCAAAAAGTTGTCTAAAGTCGCAACTTAATATTTTTACTAACAACTTTCTATATATATATTTGGATTCAATTTGTAAATAAAATACTTATTAAATAAAAAAATATTAATTATTTACCTGAAGTAACTGTTTAAAACATTTTGTAAGTGAACACAATGCATTTTATTTTGCTCTGCTTAGAAATAAAACGTTCTGCTTGCAACTTATATTTGGTTTTCAAAAATAAGTTGCAAGCAAGAAGTTTTATTTTTGCTTGTAAAAAAAATAGTTATTTTTGAGGTTTTAATTTTTATGGTAAGAATAAGATTTATTTTAGTGTTTTAAAATAAAAAGCAGAATGTAAAAGTTATTTTTGCCTGGAAAAGTAAAAAGCAATTTATAATAATTATTTTTGAAAACATATTTTATTCAATCAAATCTAATTATTATTTTTTTTGGCTTAAAACTATTTTACAAAGCGAATGATAAGACTAATTATTTGGTTTTGATTTTTAAAATAATAAGCTGTATATACATATATATTGCTTTTAAATTGACTGATGCCATAACACCGATTGGTCGTACAAAGTAAGAATATAGAATAAAAGGATCATATAATAACACAGTGACAAGATCACTTCTCAAACAAATTTATGATATATTAAAAATGTCTCTTATTAATGATTTTATAAATTTTCCAACAAAATTGATCTGAAATTAAGGAAACTGAAGAAAAAACTTCAGGAATAAATAAGTAAGAGGCTTCAAATCAGTCGAAAAAAATGGTGGATGTAAGATGATTAAACAGTTGGAAAGAGGAAGACAAGTACACAAAAATTCCCGCATTGATAATAAAATTAGAACAGAAAAAAAACAAGGATTTCAGTTATAAATAAACTGTATTTGCGACGAAAATAAAGTAATGCTTTATAAAAAGGAAATCATACTTAAAATGTAAAAAAGATACTTAAAATGTTAAACTTTAATACCAGAAACTAGTTAACACCGCACGAACTAAATAAAAATGTTAAATGCAATATTGCATCCCAAAAACAAAGTTATATTAAAAATGTAAAAACACTTTAGCACAAAGAATTTGCAGAATTATTTTATATAAGAGGAGATGTGTACATAGAGATATAACCTGATTTTTCCGAACTGTTCTAAACACAAAAGAGTTTTTTGGGTTTGTAACTATTTGATATTGCTTTTAAAACAAAAGAATAACGATATCTGGGAATCGTTTAGATAAATATTTGCCTTCGAGTAAAAATTGAACTTATTAGAAGACCAGTTATAATTACGACATAATCGATGTACTATAATTATTTGAAATCGCTTTCGAAAAAGAATGAAATATCTGGGAATCGTCCAGATAAATACTTTCCTTCGAGTAAAAATTGAACTCATTAGAAGACCAGTTATAACTACGAATGAGATATTTGTCCGTTTAGAGTTGGAAAAACTATAGCTTTTCTGGAAGTGTATAATATACTAAATAGGAATATATACGTACTTTCAGACAGTCAAGCTGCTTTAAAGTTTTTGAGAGCAACCCAATTCATGTTATGCTAAATACGACTATATGAGTACAAAACATGGACAAAGGGAAAGATATATGCCATTGGCTTAGTTGTAGTTAAATGAGAAATTATAAGAAATGTAGCAGGTCCTATTTGAGATAAACATGGATTGTTTAGCATTGAAACATATAAATACTATATAGTTTGAGTGTTAGGTAACTTTATAATAGCGCAGAAATAATATTACAGCATGAAAATGTGTTCATAAAATGTATTTGTTCTGATAAACGAAACGGTCGGTGGGCAATATGTTGAGTGAGAACTTTTCATCAGGTTGTACTCAAGGTGAATATTGGTTTTGTAAAATGTGAACCAATGAAAAATATTTTGAACGCAAACAATGGGTTGGACATGTGCAGAGCATAAATGAAAATGCATTAACAAAAAGTCGGTAAAAAAGAATGTATTGGTAAATCGGGTGGAATGCAATATGTTGCAAAATCAAAAGGTACCAACAAATCCAAGAAATGGAGAAGATTTATGAAAAAGTCCATGCTTGTGCATATTTAGATGTAGCGCCATGTAAAAAAAAGAGTAAATAGCGCAGTGCAATATTGCTTAAACCAGTTAATGGATTTGCTTAGGAATTTTTAGGTGTATACGCGAAACAATTGATTGCTTAGTAACTTACTTACTTACTTAAATGGTCATAACAACCCATTTCAAGGTTTTGGCTAACGCAATACTCCTCTCCAGGCGCCTCTATCGTGTATGCGCTATTTTTAGTCTCGTGCAACAAGTATGGTTAGTGTTCTCTCAACTTGATTATTCTAGCGAGGACACGATCCACATATGCGGTTTATATTCTAACTGACAGTTTAAATTTCTTTATCGCTGGAGTATCGTTATCTATTCTTATGGCTAAGCCAGCGAAGTTGCTAATGTTAATTTGCTGAATTGTATACCTAAATCTCATGTTAAAACTCGTTTATTTGGATCTACCGCATCTGCCAACTTGTAGAGGATCAACTTATGAATTTCGGAAACTCTCAGTGCTGAAAGTTTCATGCTACTGCTTAGTTAGTCTAGGCAATAATTATCTCGCTTCATAATAAATAAAAATAAATTTATTTAATATATGATGAGACGATCTAATTTAAAAGACTTGTCTTAAGAAAATATGTAAGTTGTTAAACAAAAGTCTGTCTACAATTTATCAGAAACTGCAACTGCTTTTATGCACAAAACTCACACGCACCCATTCACATAAATTTGCTGTTTTGCATTTAATATGAATATACAAACGAGAGTACCAAGACGAAATTGCAAAAACAACATTGCATATACAATACTGCATGTACGTGTCTTCTGAAATGTAACCCCGCAATAAAGAATATTGACTTCTTTCAGTTTCACTTGTGCATGTGTGTGTGCGCATACATGTGTACTATTTACGTTGATGCAACCTTTTGTGCGCGTGTGAGTGGTAAAATAGCAGCAAGTGAAATGCATTAATGTCAACATGACAAATACAAAATGGAAGTGCAGACAAAAGAAAAGAGCGCAAGAACGAAACAGGAGAGAACACGAGAAGAATGTGTTGCTGGTAGTCTTCAAAAGTATGTTAGGTATGCAAAATTTATGTGCATTTTTCTACGTGAAATATAACTCCTTGCAAAGTCTGCCTTTGGAGCGATGAAGTTGAGGAAGCAGAAGCATGTACAGTCATGTGTAAATTATACATGCTTTCATGCGAAATAGTTCCGAAATTAGAAACTAAAAAACTGTTCAGAATATAAGACAAATAAAATTTTAATTTGTGCCAAATAAATGTCGCAACGTGAAGGAAATCGCAATAAGAGCGTTGAAGTTATATCCTTGCCATTAGAGCCTAATTATTTTTTAATGTGACTATTGCATTCTGGAAATGGGAAGAAATATTTTAAGTGTTTCAGTGATAATCACCTGCTTAGGTATTTTATTTTCAAAAATAAATGCTTTTAAGTTTACACAAGTATAGTTATAGTTATTTTTAAGTATATTGTAAAAAGGGGTTAAGTATTTTAATTAAAAAAATTAGTATAAAATTCATGATTATGTTTATACCTTTGAAACTCATGCGAATAGAGGTATATTAGGTAGGTCCGGATGAGCGAAAAGTAGTGACGAAGGTTTTGAAGACCATATAAATCGCATATATGCGTTGACAATGGTGATCAGCATGATTACCATTTGAAAGTACGTCTTCGCATAGTGTTTCAGATCTAAATTATACAATTAAAATTCATAATTTTCTTAACTAGGAGTGTTATTTAAATGACATGCGTCAGCGATAAGCTATTTTTTATGGGCTTTTTTACTTCTATTTGTTATACTTCCGACCTTTTCATAAAATTATTCTTACTAACAGCCAAATGTTAAAGGTTTGAAAAAAACAAAAAATTGTTCTTTGAAATTATTGAAAAATTATGCGATACTCATCGAATCCTTAATAAATCTTATATAAATTAACAAAAAGAAAGAGAAAGCAATGAGGAATAATATCGGGTGTGTATTTAGCTGCATGAGAACTTAAAATACAATCATGACAAAAATATTGTTTCAATGAATTTTTTTTATTATAATCTGGTAGATAATTTCAATGCATTTATTTTTTGAATATAATTTCCGGCATATCTCCGCCTCTGCTACGAGTTACATGGTCTATTAGAGCAGTTCAATCTCTGGCAAAATGCAACCGTATGGCGTCAATGGTGGCATGAACATTGGGAAATTGCATTTAAATATATCTGTTTCAGAAATAAAACTACTTAGCGCACCTACGAAACAACTATCTGAGATGAGTAAATATTTATCAATTTAATTGAACTAGCTCTAGGACCAAAAACAAATTTAAATACATAGATAAAATTATTTATTAAGTTTATATATATTTAATAAATTATTTTAATAAATACAATTACGGGTGAAATCATAACATAATTTTATTTTACATTTATATATTTCTAAACTTATGAATTACAGTCAGTAAATATAAAGTAGTATACATTCATTCTCTTTATATGTCTATGTTGATCAAATTTGTTTCATCTCGATTTGTCTATATCATACATTATACATAGATTTGTCTATGTCATACTGGTATAGCTTTCAGTCACTTTTTATCTCTTCAACTAAAGAAATTTTTTGAATATGCGATTCTTTGACGTTGTACACATTGGTACATATTGAAAATAGACCTTATTTTTTATTCCGTATATGGGCAGTACTTACTGTTATTATAATTTTTGTGTGTGTTTAAACATGAATATCAACTGAAATTGAAATTTATGTTTTTAGTTTAAATAATACTAGTTTATAAATAAATAAAAGTTTTGTTTTCCAAAAACGAGATTTATATTTCCTATAGGGAAATTTTCTGTTGAACATAAAAATCACAACGATTTTTTCCTGTGTACCGCCGGACATTTCAAACTTAGATATTCTAAACTAAATTGCCTTTATAAAACGGTCTTTGGATAAAAGAGACAGCGCTATCGCCACTAAAACCCACCAAATTACCATTTATTTGAGTATGCAATTGTTCTAGTTCTAAAGTAGAAGAAGATATGAGAAATTTTTTTAGAATCATATATAAAACGATATGGTGTCATTAGTTTTGTTATTTTTCTGTAAAGTTGCGAAATTCTAAAGTGTGTCCTTTTCACGTCGTCCGCTTTGATTGCCATGCTTTCGATTGGTGGGCTATTTTTAACGACGGGTGCCGTTATTTTAATATATAATAAAAAAAAATTAATAAAATATTTAATGTGAACATTATTATAATAAATATTTTAATTAAATATTATTTATGTGAAATTATTTTAAATTTATTGAAATATTTAAAGAAATATTTGAATATTCATAAATGAGGTATGTCATAGATGCCTGAGTCCATTTATTCCTTTTTTCATTTCATTCATTTGCATCAATAATTTAATGAATATTTAGAATTTTTTGAAATTAAATTATTACATTCATTTGTTTTTATGCGGTTTTTAATTAATACTATTTAAGCATTTTTTTTGTGGTTACCATTTTATATTAAAATAACAACGCACTTGTGAGAACAACGTGCAATTTATTATTATTTTTATTGTTAATTTATTTGTTAATAAAATAGTTTTGTTCTTTAACTTATATTCGTTTTTGTATTTTTTAACAATAAAATTGTTAAATTATTTCCCGCAATATTAACTTTTTATTTATTTCTTGATATTTTTCAACTGCGGTATGAAAGTTTGTTGTTAAACTTTTTATGCATGCAACTGAGGTGGGTGTGACTCTTTGGGAATTTATGTATTATACACATATATGCATATATATTTTCATATATCTATATATATTTATTTGCATATCAATTTATGCATATAAAAAGGTGGCAGTACTTTTCCGATTTTTAATTGCTTTTGTGACCAACAATTAAAAATAAATTTTTCCACATTTTCACACGTGTTTTATGTACTTCCCCGGCTTTAAAAAGTTTTAAAAAACTGAAAAACGCAAAACTATAACGAAAAAGTAGGATAAAGTTTTTCCTTTACTAAAAAGGTAAATGAAAATTTCATGTTTTTCCAATTAAACTGATTGAACTAATTCGGTTCGATTTTTTTTGTTAAATATTGTAATTTTAAAAAACTCAGTTAAAATTAAATGAATTGAAATAAGTACGCAAATTTCACTTTTAAATCAGATTAAATTTATTTAAAATTTTATTTTTATTTATGCTGTACGGACGTACTATGTCTATTTTGTGATATATAGCAATGATGCTGTATTGTGATTTTTATATGGCAAGGGAATTATTATTACTTAGTGTTTTTCAAATTTAATAATTAATTGAAATAAATGCAAAAACATTTAAGTAAAAGAATTTTATTGAAATATTTTTATTTTTGCATTTGCTAAAACATTTTGAACTCAAAAATGTGTTATAATACCTATGTATATGGAATTGACTCTTGCATATATTTCACGTAATACAAATTGATCTTATTTTTAAAATTGTATCAGAAATCTGTGTGGTGTCACAACGGGTCATCATTTGTGGTCAAGTGGGCCTCGGTGTGAAAGGCTGCCATGCCAACCTAACCTAACCTACATTAGAAATTAGATTTCCTGTAAAACGAGATATAAAATCAGGGACCGTAACAGTTATCATAAAAAAAATAAAAATCATCTTATAACTGTTATCATATGCATTTTAAAATAAAACTCAAAA